ATAACTTCGCGAACTTTAAAATTATTACTGACTTTACATATTCGTGCGAAACGGTACGTAGACAGGTATTATCTAGATCATATTTTTATCAAAAGATTACACAATATTAATTTGATCAAACGGAAATTAGAAAATTTCCATATTCTATTATTCGCAGACGGCAACGATCGAGCGATTCTGCATAACGCGACAATACGTTTGATCCGATGATTGACGCTCATAAAAATATAGGTTATACGTTCATAAAACCCAGGATCAAAGGAACTGCAATATGCGAATTGGTTGAAAAATCGACTGCCAGTATAATCGCGCGGACGAGCTCGTAGGCACGCATGGAAATTGCTGAAGCTTTGAAGTACCTATAACTGGGCTGATTTACCAGTCGGCTATCACGTCCTTTTATTCTCGAACGAGGCAAATAGCGAAAAATTGCGACGGGGAAAGCGCACGAGCAGATGCGTAAAATGCATCGAGTTAGATAGCGAATATCCTTATACGTTAACAAATGCATTGTGAGACACGCGTCGTCGAGCACGATGAGAGTAATAATAATGGATTCATCATTTGCGATCATTTTTATATTTGGCGTAAAACAATCAGATCCAGATATGACAGAAATAATACAATTGATTTCCATATTTTTTAGATATTCGATTATAGAGTACTCAAATTGCTGCGAGTCTTTTTTATCGTGTTCTCATAATTTTTTTTCGAAAAGACAAACTTTTTCTAATAGATTCGCTTTATATAAAAATATTTTTTTTTTGCATGGCGCTATTGTATGCTTGATTAAATACTCATAATCAAATAGAGCATGCAATTCTCGGGAATTTACATAATCATTTTTGGAAGCTACACAAGTCGACCCACGGCGCAAAAATTTATACGAACCCGGTGAGCCAACGGCGAAATAATGTGAGGAAACTTTTCTCGACGAAAAAGAAAGAGACCAAGAGCGAGAGAAAGGAAGAGAGAAATTCTTATAGACACGCATTGCCGAAGTCTTCATTGAATAGTAGACGATGCAAACAACTTTGGCGAACGATAAAAATATGCCGAATAAAGTTTTGCGTTTGTAATTCTTAGTGCGAATTTGGCGAGAAACTGGTTCTAACCTATTATAGATTCACGACGCAATCAAGGATGGACAAACAATGGGAGTGCCTTGCACCCTGTTTGTAGTCTTACCCGGTACAACGGAGAAGCAATTGTCGGCTTATCCAATAATGAAGGCTTCAATATTGCGCTTTTGAAGAGTCTATTGATTATTTATAGGCGATAGAAGGTCGATCATTAATCATTACGTTATGATTAAGTAATCACCCGATTTTTTCACTGTCGCTTCTCTTGTTGTTTTATAAAAGAAATTCTTCAAATTTTTTTTATTCTCTATCAGTTAGTTAAATATTGATGAAGGTTTTGCTATTTTTAATCGATGCTTAATTGGATTCTCTCTGTCAACGTCGATTAAAAATATTTAACGTCAAAAAGATATCAAGACATAAAATATAGTCACGAGCGATCAATTATGAGAATCGGTATCGTTATTCTACCGCACTGAATGAAATTCTCGAGGATCGTTTGATATCTCTCAAAGGATATCTCGAGGAAGAGAAATAGAAATAGATGATCGTTCTTGAGCGCACAATGGTTGGAGCGAGACTGTTTTGTTCCGTTTGAATAAATCTTCTGGGTGTTCTTAAACTGGGCTGCAACATTTTTCCCGAAATACTTCGGTAAATATAAGATCTCACTGAATAATAAATTTCGTTCCTGAACTGTATTTGTCTACGGACCTTATACAATTCATGCGTCGCCAGTCGCGTCATTGTGCGGTTTCGTCTCGTAGTATAAAGAGAAGTGAATACGTCATACGTCTCATTCACGAGATCAAAAGGCGTATCGGCGAGCAACATTCGTGAAACAGATTCATATCTATTTTGTTCAAAAATATTTCGTCTAGAAACTTAATTACCGCACTTATCGTAATAATATAACTAACTACAGCAAGAAAACATGTAACAAATTTTATTATATTGTTCTATTGTATTAATATAGTATTATAGTTTTCACATAATAACTTTTGTTTCTCGTTGGGGGGGTAGTGTACAATAATTCTGTCCTATCCTTCAAAATTTTATTTTTGACGCTTGACATGGAACAGACGTAAGAAAAAAGCACAAGGAAGCGAAGGAATTTTGCTTTCTATGCATTTGAGCCAATTACGATTGATGCGACGCATTCTGAATTATAAGAGCAAATACGAACCTGGACGCGCATTCTTCATTGTGCTACTCTGATGCGATCGCGACACATCGCGTCGCGAGGAATGGATCCTAAGCGGATGACGCTCATTGTCAGTTGGCTATTCGTTTTTGTGCACTTCTACTTCCGGAAAAAGCCACCGCACGGCTGACATTGTTGGCCTGGTACGATAAATTACCGCGGAGACAACGAGCGCGAGCATTCTCCGTGAATTTTCCTTATCACAACGCACGTGACCGAGTTTGCTCGTAACATCAGTATATCTTAAAAATCCGGTCTTTTAAAAGAAAGAGAGACAAAGACAGAGAGAGAGAGAGAGAGAGAGAGAACCTTTACGGGAATTCGCAACACTCGCAATACTTTTCGTCTAGAAACTTTACTTAGTATCAGATAGAAAGTATTGATGCTTCTCCACCGACAACTGGATTTTTAACAGTGATATTTTATCTTCGCTAGTTGCTGAGTGTCGATATCATTATTAATCTAATAAAATCAACTATCCATCAATAACAACCAATAAAATGTTTATATCGTCAAACCATGTGTCACTTGCCGACATTAAGAGACTTAAATGACACTCTGTCAACATGATAAAAATAATAGCCTCTATTTTCGGTCCATCATTCTTTTTACGTTTTAAAAACATTTTCGACAAATTTATTGGCGCGTTACATCAAATGTTATGATGATTGAAAATTTTTGTAACTGTAATTTCAGTATAATAAATATTTTCTGAATCGAAATTGAAACGAGATAGATTAAAGAAAATGAAATATGAAAGCAGAAATGCTTAATATTTTCTCTATTTCTTCGTCAGAATTGTATGCGTTCAAAGTTTATTTTATCGCTCATGTATAGTATATAAATATTGCATATATACACACATTCAGTTATAGAAATAATCGATTGGTTGTAACATTGGTTATTCTCTATAGTTCGTTGATACCATGTGCAAATCCACTTAGCCTCCCGGCTATTTCGTTTGTGTCAAATTTTTGCGCCAAACACTTTCGCGATATATCAACCATTTTTTCCTTTTTTTTTATCAGTAATTTAATATCTAACAATTTGATCCTAGCTACCACGATTTAATATATCGCGTAGATATTTTTAACGCATAATCGCACCACGTACGGTCAATTACCGATCGTGTTGCCGGATGAATTTATTAGGGTCGTTTATTAGGAGAAATTACGCGATTGCGTTACGGTAAATAAATTAAAACGTTTCTATCCACGGGCAAAAGTGCAACGCACGAAATTATCTTATCTGGATCAACCAGGCTATGTGAGTAATAGATAATTATTATCAGCCCTGATTTTCGATGAGCAAATTTTCCGCAATTTTTCATGAGTTTTTTAGAACGAGACTGCGCTCTATGATTTATTCAAGAAAACGAGCTATTGCTGTGGCACGAAAGCGCTATTTAAATAGCGAGATCGATGTTGCGGATCAAAGACAAGCATCACGTGTCGCTTTCCGTAATGTTTTTAACGATTTTTCCAACGCCGTTTACGGCATTTATTCGCGTGGCATAAATAACGGATATAATAGCTGGCAATAACGCCGGTCGAGCGGCGCGTTAAAGGTATAATTTACGATAAAAATGCGATCGCCGATATCACCGTGAATATCGATTTTATAATGCAGAATGAGCCGAGTTGCGGATGAATAGAATCCTTCGATAGTGTATAGTAGAATACATGGGCAAATGAAAAAGACTGCTTATTAATAATTTATCCCGAATGCTTTTTAGCTGCCTCTCAGTTCAACATAATTTAATAATGAATATTGAAAAGATTCGTGAGAGATTTTTAGTGGTCAAAATCGCCAACGAATCTCTATCGGAAAAAAAATGAGTCGTATTGAATTCATCAAACAATCTATTAAATAATTAAGTGAAAAGATCCATAATAGTAAAATAACACAGAGGAAAAAAAATAGGGTCTCTTTGTGGAATCGTAGAAATGGAATAATCTCGATATTTTTAAAGTTCGCTAAGTAAGCAACTTGGTTTTATTAGCATTTCTTGTTATACTCAAGAAAATCTAAATGAAATGTAAAAGAAAAATGCAAATATTTTATTGTATTTTGTTTTATTTTAAGTTGCCGTTCGATTGGCATTGTAGTTCCATTTTTCGCGAAGCGGCATTCCTGAAAGATTCGAGCAATCATTACGCTCCATGCAAAAAAAGGATGCAAGTGCGCAAGCAACACGCTTGATTTAATTGCATACGTTAGCCACCTCGATCGCAATATTTTTGCCGGTTAGCAATTACGGCGACCGCGGTGAGGAAAAATTACCGACAAGAATGGGAAAACGACGGCCGTGGCGGAAATGAGGCGGAGGTGGAGAGGCGCGGAACGGATAATGACTCGGTGGCGCGCTTTTCCGCGATATCTGTGCGCGGTCGGAGGTGCCCCACGTGTACTGTACCATTCTAAATTATTGCTGGCGATTTGTTTGCCTTCCGGACTCGCCCGCGAGAGAATCCCGTACGGATTAATCGATCGAAGTGTCGCGGATCAACGATTAATTATAGACGATAAACCGAAGAGATGTAGAGGGTCGTTTGAAAATTTGGGTCGTATCCCGAGAGCAAGCAGATTAGTGAAAAAGCGCATTTGGTGCGATCGATTCAGTTTATTTGAAATATATAGAGTCTTGGCAAACACGCTCTCAGTTTGGCGATGACGTGGCAGAAAGAAGAATACATTGATTGATTTGTTTGCAGGCCTGCGACTGCCTGGGAGTCAGCAAGGAGTGCGACTACTTCGGGCTGAAGTATCAAAATGCGAAGGGCGAGGAACTCTGGTTGAATCTGAGGAACCCCATAGAGCGGCAGACCGGCGGTGGTGTAGCGCCTCTAAGATTCGCTCTGAGGGTTAAGTTTTGGGTACCGCCTCACCTGTTGCTGCAGGAAGCCACCAGGTAAGGAAAATTAACCCTTATCGTACCATCTACAATTTGGTGCCTCATCCATACCAACCAGGG